CCAGTGGAAACATAGGAACATTATTAATAAATGCTCAACTGATAAGATGGCTTTAAATTTTCTAAGTGGAAATGATTTATTCTTGACTATAGTGTGTGTTTTGTGGTGCTCAAGGATTTGAGAAATAAATTCAAATCTCATCTTCTGTGTGTTTGTAGTTAAACATATAACTCACTGATCCTCTTTCCTATTTCTTATTCTTATAACTTCTTTGCTACCAGTTGTATTTTCAATTTTACAAATTGTTGAAGTGCATTCTTTGGTGACGCTCATCGCCCACACTGTATCCCATATATCACATTCTCAGAGCAATTATTGCCTGACAAAGATGTCAGCTAAGACTATGCTCTATCAAGCATCTAGATGATGTTTTTCCCCTGGTATCCCTGATGGATTCTTATGTTTTTATAATTTTAAGCAGAATATTCATTTTCCCTAAATCAATATTCACTATACATCAGCACACATACACGTTCCCTGTTGTATTTACCATCTATATGCAAATTCAGCCAAACATTTAAGGATAAAGTAGCATGATTATAAATACCATATTATTTAAGACAACAATATTTTGCAGGTTCAGTCACTTGCTCTTAAACATCCTTGCAATATACTCAGGCAGACCAGCTCAGTCCAGTATTATTGGGCATGCTTCTGAATTAATTTCCACCTCAGAGCTACAAGATGAAAATTCTAACTGTGTGATAAATTAAGTTGCCAAATGAAATGGATTAGCAATCAGCAAAACTGCCTGATAGGCTGTCAGATCCATTTCAGATTAGAATTCATCCTCTCTCCCCACCTGTTCATTAAGCACCAAGTTCAAGGCAACTTCAGTGACTGATTGCACTTTAACAAGCTGTTTATAAGAGAAGGTGTAGCTCAGCTAGTCAACATTTCTATACTTAAACATTAATTTAAGAATAATTTGCAGATAATATATTCAATTCACAATTCCAATATATAAAAAATACCTCTACCTTGAAGTATAATTTGGGGCATGACTGAGATGTGATGCTTCATAAAATTAAAATTTAACAAAGCGAATCAGATTGCACTTCAAGGTCAACAGAAGCGGCGAAAAAAGTCAAGCACTAAATCTACTGCTTTATCCAGTTAAGAAAGATGAGAAGAACAGTAAGGTAGACAGTTGCACTACCAGGATACTTAAAAATCAGTACAGAGTACAGAGTGAAAAGCTTAAAGAAAGAAAATTTAAAATGTGCTTTATTAATAAATGTGCAGTCTTTAACATGAAACTAAAGTCTCTTCCTAAATCTAATTTTCCAAAGTCAAATAGCAGGATCAGTTTATGCATTAAGCAAGTCTAAACATGCGTTATTAGAAATGGATCTTTTTCCCAAATAGCATTTTCTTCAGACAGTGAGACAGAGCTACTATCAAGAAAGTAATTAAATGTTTGCCCTTTTTTAGTTGTCTGAGAGCTATACATGATGCATTTCTTTAAAATACTACTGTCTGTTAACCTGCCAGGGAACAACATCTTCCTTGCATCTGGGTACTAACACTAGCTGTTGGAAAACCCAAAAGATGAAGTAGGACTCCTATATCAGGGCTCCTCATTCTACTAATACTACTGAATTAGCACCTTGACTGACTCCTGAATCCCCACAGAGTTGTTAAGGAGTATACTACAGCGAAATCCTTTACTTGGGCAGCATGAGCAATGTGAATTAAGTAGCATGTCAGTATTTAAGTGAACTAGGGGAAAATATAAAATGGATTCATTATTATGCCTCTTCTGTTTCTTGATCATGCCTCACTGACTTTTCTCAGTGAAAAAATATTAATCTGATTAATTGTACTGTCCATCTATTTGCACTTCTGAAAAAAAATCCTGTTAAAAGGTGATAATTATAAGTTTTTCCCACAATGTAGGGCAAATAAAATTACTACTAGTTTCCACTAATTTGGTTAGCCATGTAATTATCTTAATCCAGTTATTTAATGATAAGCAGCATGGTTAAAACTTTATCAGAAAATACAGATGCTTTCAATGACACATTAAAGAGCAGACAACATAGTCTGTGGAAGAAGGGTTTCTAATTTGTGCCCATCCCAGAACCTGAATCAACTCAGTACATGTTCCCTACATTATACTGACAGAAAGTGGGCTTGTCATTCGTTAACTGGAGATCAGCAAAAATGAATTACTGCATAGGAAGTCTGACATATCCCACCACTGAAAATCTAGGAATCCAACTGTAATATCTACTTAATGGGGAAAAAATTAATAGCCAAGGGAATATTGAGTAATTCCAGTATTTACAAGAAACTAAAAGTGGAATCTAGGGAGATAGCTGAATATTAGTTTTGAAATGGCTATATAAATATTTCATAATTTTGAGGTCAAATTGGGGTTCTCCATTTATTTCTGCATTTGTGACAACCTAGTATAGAACAGCTGACTTGAAGTGACTAATAGGTGGACAAGATGACTATTTCCATCTTAGCCTTTATTATTATTATTATTATTATTTTGCTTTTCAGTAGTGCTTAGAAGCTGCAGTTGAAAACTAAGGCCTCGCTGTACTCAAACCCATATGCACACACAGATATGAGGTAAAGAATCTCCAAAGAGTTTACAACCTAACTATTCTAGACAGCTAAAAAGTGTTAGGAAGGATTAGGTTATTTTGTTTTGCATTACAAGTATTGTGGTTTCAGTTTTGCAATATTATCTCAGAAAGCTACACCTTCCACAAAGTACTTCTAATCAAGAAGAAAGGAGAATTACCTGTCAGTTCTAACATAATGTACCTTAAAAGAGCGGGGGGGAAATAATTGAGGGCAGTGACTTGTAAGATTGTATTATATGTGCCCGAAGCACTTTTGGAGCCAGAATTAAACAACATATAGAAATGTTTAACCTGTTAAAAGGTCAGCTGTCACAGTTTTATTTAAAAAAATAGAACATGCCTCAAGGAAGATTTTTTTTCAAGTAATTACAGTGAAGAATGAAGCAGCAAAAATAATTTTCATATGAGCTTTTAACAGAATCCTTACAAAGGAAGATTAAGATAGCAGAATATCCAAGAAAAAGCACCAAAATGGATTGATAACTGGCTACTGAAAATAATATTATTAAACAGACACCACAAACAATAGCTCTCAGAGGATGATACATTAGTGGGGGGGTACTTTCTTTGCAAACAAGGAAGCAGGATATCCCTGAATATGACCAAAACTGTACAGCTCCACAATCATCCTTTTAGTGGCATGATGAGATGCGACTTTAATGGCTTCACACCATGTCACAGTTTTCTGCTTGTAATCCAAAAGCCTTCCATCTTTTTGGGGGCAGGGGGAAGGTGGGGTGCAGGGAAATGAAGGGAGAGAAGAGCAGGGGGTTGGAATACAAAATCATACTCAATTTGTTCATGATGTGGAACAGAACTGTAGCAGAGCAGAGGGGAGCCTCCACTCAAACAACATTAACCAAAATGTGAAAATGCCTGACTGCTTTATCTATCTGCATAAAACCAAAAAGGAGAACTCCAGGTGCCCCACAACAGAGCTATGCATTGGATATGCTTACCAGTGAAGAATTCAGTTGCATTTCCACTGCAGAGAATGCTAAATCAAAAGTTTCATTTATTTGCCAGGAATTCAAGGAAGAAACAAGACTATGTGATGAACTACCAAACTGAGTTGCAGTAAAAAAAACGTTATTATCCTAAGTGACTTTAAAGAATGAATCCACCTATATCCTACAGAATCATCCCATTATCTAAGGCCACTGACAGATATGGAAAAAAGACAAAACAAAAAAAAAAAAAAGGCATTTTACTGGAAGAGTAACAGTAACTCTTAACAGTACAGGCAAGTTACAGCACATATTCTTACTTCTGTTTCACAGATCTTGAAAATAAAACACATACAAGTTAATTTTAGCAAGAACAAAAATTCAGGTCCCTAAAGAACTACCATATTTACCCGAATCCAACACAACCCTGAATTAAAAATGACCCCCATTAATTAGTTTCTATGCATGGAAAATGAATACATTTGTAATCATTTTCCATATACAGAATCTAATTATGAGAAGATCATCACTACCACCACCATTGTAGCAGGAAAGCAGTGGTACTGGGGCAGGCAATGAAGGTCAAGCAGTAGGAGGAACAATTTACACCCTGCTGCCTATGTGTATATATACATATAGATATATGTCTACATATATATGTCTACATATATATATCTCTCTATATAGGAGATATATATTAGTGTCTACCTTTTCTAAAAATATTCTCTTTAAATCTCTCTAAATGCTTTAAAAACCTATGCATAGTTGTAGTATCCACTGAGGATCAACACAGACAACCCACATCAGATTTGGAAAGAGAAATGTCTAATCAAAGGCTCCCAGCCACTAAGAAAGTTCAGCCAACATCTCCCTCTCTCAGAACAGTTCCAATATCTCTTTTAAATGCAACTGTGGCAGTCTGGCACTGGAGAAGAATCTCTTAATTAGGAAGGACCTACTTCATTTGGGATTTTTACACCTAATGCCAACATTTTAAGATACTGATTTGTGTGTGCATGTATGTAACAAACGATAGGAATATTGAAGTACTAATCTCTGTGACAGATACTCTCAAATAGAAGTTAGCTGCTGAATTTTGTACTGTGTTAAATTTATGAATGGGTTGTAGGTGTAACCCAACAGAGCACACCGCAGTAAACTTCTAATTTTAATGTACAGCCCTCTAAAAAAAAATCAGCTATCCAAATCAAGAAAAAAAATACAGATCATTTATCTCTTATCAAAACCAAGACTCAGTCAGCATTTTCCAATAATCCTTATTATAGTAAAGGTAAAGATTAGCTAACCAACCATACACAGATTATTAACTTCTTGAGCAGCAGTTTCTGTCAGGTTACAGTTTCCATAGGATAAATTCACCCTATGTAGAATTTCAACACTCCAAATTTTATGCTATCACAATTTGTCATGCATGAAACATTTAAACACTTACCTGCATTAACTATGGCGTCCACCTCAAGCAGGGTAATATCACCTCTATAGAGAGAAACCTTCTCACTCAGACTTTTCTTCACCTGCAAAACTTCCTTAGTGTTTTCATCTGCAAGCCAAGGAAAATAGATGAAGAATACTAACAAAAGTAATACCCATGCATTAGAAATTACACACATATACACACATATGACAGACAAAAGATTCCAAGCCATCTTTACCACTTTAACAATAAAATCATCCTAATAGTCTGCACTACTATTAATGCATTATAAATGGGCTATCAATTCTTTCTGTGAATAAAAATAGGCATAGTACTATCTGTATGTATTTTGTTGCACAATTATGCATTTGTTTAAATTACTGTAAGTTTGGGAACAACCATATAACAGTCCTTGAAGCACAATTTTGAGCTGACCGTGCTAGGTAGGGTTCTCAATAAAAAGAAAAATATTATTTTAAAACAAGCCACATTTATTGTCTGTAAGCCACAATTAAGTTTTATTTTGAAAAATAACCTGTTTATACATAAAAATATCAAGTATTTGTTATGACATTTTTCAATTTCACCTCTAGAGGGCGTGGCTAACCCCAAAAAACCACTAGTTTCATTGCTATACCTATAATGCTAAAATTAACTTCTGGAAAGCGGGGGGGGGTTTCTTGCAGGAGGAGGGGGTGGAAAGGGATGGGCTTCTTTGTTTAGGGGTTTTTTGTTTTTTGTTTTTTAACTACAAAACATTTTAAAACCCCTTATCTGGTTCCATATAAGGGCAGGGAAGCCAGGGGGTGGGTGGGGAGGGGAGGGTTTCAACAATGTATTTGTAAACATTTTTAGAATTACTCTTCCGTGTTTGCGAACAGCCATGGTACAGAAATCAATAAATCACAATAATATATATGGGGAGAGAAAAAAATCTTACTTACTCAAGGTACTCTTATTTAAATTACCAAACAGCTATATAAACTCTAGCCTTCAGGTAAAGAGGACAAGAAGAATAAAAGAAAACTTTTAGCAGTCTTTAAAAACCTCCCCCAACAAACTCACCAAAATCTAAATTAAGACTTGCAAGAGATGACCCCAAATTCATAAATCTTCAACATTAAATACAGCAATTTTCAAAAGAAAAAGGTCATGAACAAATCTCTAGATGTAGGTAGCAATCAAATATACTCCATAATTGGCCTAAATTGTTGGAGGGCACAGATGGGGAAGTCAAAAGAAGAGACCGCACATACGAGATTTTACAGACTATATTTTAACATATTTTAGGTAAGCAGAGAGTAGAAACATGCCTTCTGCTTCTCCATGTCACCAGTTCAACTCAGATTTATAGAGTATAACAGGCAGATATCTGCCATATCTGTCAGTAAATTTATCACTAAATACTTTCAGGAACATGCCTTGGACAATAAACTGAGCTCATGTTCCTTCCTGTACTGTAGGTGTCTAAGTCATGAGTACAGGAATACGATGTTATTTTCACAAAGTCATTTTTCAAGCCATGATATACTCCTCTGGAGTCTTGGGTCCAAAAGTAGGTTGGAAGTGTAACTAAACTGTTAACCTGACAATCTGAATAAGAAAACATTTTCAAAATGCATAGTGATACCTGTCTTTGCAAGGGAAAAAAGTTAAAGGTGCCATTAAGTACATCTTGAGTTTAAAATGGGATAAAAAGTCTTCAGTCTTAAATTGTGACAAGCCCTACACAGAGGATACTGCTGACACTTGACCTACAGTGAATATATATAATACATTTTCACCATATGTAGACATTTGCTCCAAATGGTCATTCCAAACTTCTTGAATCACAATACTGACTTTTAACCAACAGTTATACAGAATGTACAATCTAAGGACCTCCTTCCCCCCTTCACACTTTCCAAGTGCAAAAGATTATAGTCAAAACTATAGTCTGAGTCTGAATCATGTGTAGACTCTGACAAGGCAACCTCTATAGGTGGTGCCTATCAAAAGTAAGAAAAGTGCTGTGGTTGGAAAACGTTGTGTCCTGCCCGAGTTCAGCTAAGATAAGGAACTTCAGCATCAGAGGAAAAGCAGAAACTTTCAAGCTGATACATTCTAGAAAACTGGAGGACATTCATCTCCAGCCTTTTTAAGCACAGTCTGCAGACCACAAATGAAGACAGAATACTTCAGTAGCAGATCAGTGGCAGAGGCTCTGAAAGTTTCAATGGTATCTTTAAACAAATCTGGAATTTCAAATGTAGGAGTGGGCGGTAAGAGAAGAGGCAATGAAGACAAAATGCTTCCTCTCAAGGAACTCCAGATGTGAGACCTCCTCCAAATGCTAGCATTAGAGCTGCCACCAGCTGCCCTGCTGACTGGAGCAAAGGAAATTAAAAGTCTTTGTGAGTAGCTACTGTCAGAAGGTGTACAGTACTTATTCCACTTGCCTGAATCAGAAAGAAAACACTGCAGACTTCCTTAGGATATATAACTGGAACGGGGTTTTGCCTTCTTAGAGTGTGCTGGATGTAAATTACCCGCATATGGAACATTTCTCAGCAACATGGGATTCTCTTAAACCACCTTTTGCTTTGTAGACCAAGTGAGTAACACAGAGTTGGTCTGCAAGCCAGATGAGGCCCTGCGCCACCTCCATGTGCTAGAAATTGGGCCCTGTGCCACCCTGCAAGCCCAATCCAGCATGCAGGGCCATATTATCTGGCCCAAGAAAATTAAGAGTAGAAAACATGTGCAACGTGGCACAGGACTGCAAGCATGACCTGTGTGTGCAACTAAGACAAATTGTCTGTAAATGTTTGAGCGCACATACTCCACCATGGGGATATCCGTGTAGATAATAACTTGTAGGAGAATGTTTGGTTCTTAGAATGGAAAACTTATCTCCCCCACATGGACTATTAAGTGATCTTCCTGGTCCAAATGATACTTACTGGCCTATAAACAAACTTCTCTTCCAAATATTTTCACACCAGCAAAATATCAAAGTTCATTCACATTTCGTTTCTTTCCTGCCCATCTGCAAAGCTTCTATGAAAGTTTTAGGACAATTATAAACATGGCAATGTGCGGGCCAGGAGCGGTCCAAGGCCCTCGGGGGCCTGTGCGCGGCAGGCTGTAGCCAGCAGCCCGGACACGCCGGGTCGGGGAATGCAGGCCGGCGGGCTAGAATTAGGCACGGACGCTTAGCGGTTGATTAAAGATTATTTTACTTACACCGAAGATGGTCGCGGTGCAGGCAGGAAAACTTGCTTGGGTTGCGGTTACAGATAGAAAAGAAGAGAGGCGGACAAGAGTTCCTTCCACGCGAACCTCTAGCCCAATCCGGTTGAAGGCTCTAAACACGCGAGCCCGTCGCGTCAACCGAAGAAAACAACTCGAAGCAGAGAGCTCTGGATACATTCACACGAAGTTTGCTAGGCTCCGTGGAACTTGCGCGCAGGGAAAAAGGGGTTCGTCAAAGGATTGCGCTTGGCGACGGGGAGAGGCCAGAGGTTGATCAGACCCCTATAGCCTTCTTAAGGTATACGCTGGGTTCGATAGGCTCCGCAGCGCTTAGAGATCTTCACGAGACGTGAAGTTCTCCTCCTCCAGATGGTTGTGGAGTCCTCCCTTGCGGGGTTCTCCTCGGAGTTCTCCAACTTGGGCGGAAACCACTCAAGCCTCTTATACGGCTAGCAAGCCAATCGCTAGCCACCACGTGGGAATAATTTAGAACTGGCCAATAGTGGGACACAAATTTGCATGCGAATGGCGGGAACTCCTTTGCACCGTGCATTTCTCTTTGCAACTAAGAAATGCACCCTGCAAAGAAAGCTCCTGGTGGCGGGAAATAATTTAGCAGTGCCGAAGCGCGCACAAACAAAATCACACCCTTGGGTTGTGACAGGCAATACAGGAACTACGACAGGTTAAAGAATTCACTAAATGTAATCAGTCTGATCATAACTAAAATTACAGCATGCACAGCCTGTGAATCCAATAAGGCCAAGCCACCAGAAGAGAGCAACACTATTTGCCCAACAGCGGCAGAAAGCTGAGGGTCACTATTTCCTGTTCTTAGCTAAGAGGCAGTGGGGGGGAAATGACATAGGTCTAGCAATTCAAGCAAGGGACTAAGAATTCTTCAACACGGTACACAGACTGACGGCATCATTAAGTAGCCATTCAGATTTGGTTTCCAAGCTGCTCTATGAAAGCAGATTGCAGTAATAACCACGCAGCAGAGAAAATAAGCACTTTGAGTTGGTGTATGCATTGTGGCAGTAAACTAAGACGAAAAATCGTTCCCTTATATTAGATTCTTAACATCAATTTTCAGCCCTGCTAGATGTGATCTTGGGAAGCCCTCAGATCTCTAATAAGCTCATCCATAAGGTGCATACAGATAATTATATTTATCAACCTCTAAAACAGATATGAGGCCTGCCTCAGTCAGAAAGGTGCAAAGGGCACAAAATGAATACTCATCAACGAAAGAGGAAATGAACTGGCTCCTCACCGAGTGTACTTTCCCCTAGGCTATAGCACATTTTAATGAGGAGTTTTGCTGCTACAACAGGAAATTTGTAAGAGTTTAATCAGAAACAATGCAGGAGGCTAAGCAAGCCCAAGGTATACTAAAATGATTGAAATATTCAGAAAATAAAAATCAAGGACCTCAACAAGCTGTTTTGAGCACAGACAAATGGCATATTTCTGCCATTCTTATAACTTAGTCAAAACATATTTTTCATGGTCACTTAAAGCAACTATATGACCCAGATCTGTTCCATTCATTACATTTTTAAGTTTCTACTCCAAATATCTTAAATACTAAAGCTATTTGAAATAAAGTAGTGCAAAAACTATTTACCATTTGCAAAGCTACTTTTGTTGATCTTGGAAAAGAAATGCACCATCTTTGCTCAGGTTTTATAAAGAAACTCAACCTGATGCAGAGGTGAAGAATAAAAGTTTTCAGCTAAAACAGATACAATTTGAACTAAGCAACTAAAACAGATGCTTGCAAATGACTGTTACATTATTTGAACAACAGGTGTCACTATTGCGCTACCTTCAACACACAAACAGAGAAAAGCAGATAAACTATAATGGTGCACTGAACCAGCTAAAAA